TCCTCACTGGAAGACTAAATTCTCAGTGTGTACTTATGTTCTGAGTGTTCTCTTGTTTTGTATATCCATACATTATGTCTCATTGCTGTCTATGCTTGAAGATATAGACTCTGTAGGAAATGAATGCTTTATCCTTAGTTTCTGGTTTCTGTGTGCTTCTCTCCTGAGGACTTAGAAGACTGAAGGAGATGGTGCCTGTAGAGCACTATGCAGATTCTGCATAGAATGAGCTTCATTTTAGTTGAATGTGCTTCTACATTCTTGCAATTTTTCTTTCTTTTCTTCTCTTTAAAAATGTACTTTACACTTCACTGCAGTAAGTTTTACAAAGAGTAAAACATATCCTTGCCTTGTCTTTTTCTATTTTGAACTTTATTACAGGACTCAGATTACTAAAGAAGTTTAGTAAAGAAGTTGTTTGTTTTAGAGTTTGTGGGTTTCTTCTTTAATCTTATCATTTCCCCTGCAGAAAAAACAAAGGGAGTTTGAAGAGTACATCAGAGACAAATACATCACTGCCAAAGCTGACTTCAGGACACTTTTGAAAGAGACCAAATTCATAACATACAGGTACGTGTGGTCCGGTGTTCCCACTGGCAGCTTTTGTCTACTAGCCTGTTCTCTAATGACCAGAGCATACTTTCACTCACACACATGTTGACATTGTGAATTTTAGGAGTCAGAAGATGCCAGCTTTCCTCAAGGGCAGATGCAGGCTGATCCACAGTACTTTTTTTTTTTTTTTTTAAAGAAAGGGCCCAGATGTCAATTCTCATTTTGTGTTATGTACATCCTGTTTTTAAAGTGCACTTTTATTTTTACTTCACTGCTTTTTTGTTGATTTTTTTGTTGTTGTTGATTTTTTTTTTTTTTTGGACCCTCAACTCTAAGAATTGTCATTCACAAAGAGACTTTAAATGAATCCTTCACTGTGACTTCTCTTTGCCTCCTCGGAAAACTGTTGAGTGGGGTTTGACCATGAATGCCTGAAATCATCTTCTTAAGGCAGAAAAATCTTTTTTCCCTCTTCGGGAAAGCAGTTGCTGGATACACTTATTTTTTTAAAAAATTGAAAATCAGAGCCCTTAAAAGGTTTTGGTGTAGCACACCCAGTAGTCCATCACCACCTTTCATCAGGAAGCGGTTTGGCATGGCCTACACTCGTGTGCAGGAAAGCAGTTATGCTTCGCGCGCCAGCATTTCTTCCTTTAAAAGACGACTTTGAGGAAGGAAGGGTGTGCACGGGAGGACAGATAGTGCTGAGGGCGTGCTTCTTAGGTGTTTTGTCATTTGGATTTTTTGGTCAGGATCCTTAATGTTTTGCATCAGCTTGGGCTTTTAAATTAGATGTGAAGTAAGACTTCTTTCTACATTTTTATAGTTAATTTAGTGACAGATGTGAAAGTGAAAGCTTGTGAAAGATGCTGGGATTGGCAGCCCCGCAGACTGAAGTCCTCTGTTCATCCACAGAACAGGTACAGCACGGGCAAGACTTACCTACCTACCCTCAGCCCTGATCTGGAGGGACCACCAGTAGGGGTGGGAGGGTAATTCAGCTTCTGAGGCCCTTTCACTCCTGGAGTCTTTGCTGAGGTGACTTACAAAGGTGACTGCTGCAGTGAAATTTTTCTTTAAAAAAGTGGAAACACAATTAGGAACTAGATGGACATTTCCAGCTCATTTCTGAAAGACCAGCGAACAGCAGTCAGTAATTCTTTGTGCTTTTTTTCTTATTTCAGATCCAAAAAGCTAATCCAAGAATCTGATCAGCACCTGAAAGATGTAGAAAAAATTTTGCAGAATGACAAGCGGTATCTAGTACTGGACTGTGTCCCAGAGGAGAGGAGGAAACTAATCGTGGCATATGTTGATGACCTGGATCGCCGGGGTCCACCCCCACCTCCCACAGCATCAGAGCCCACTAGACGATCAACAAAATAATTCCAAATACCTTCCCACGGGCTCCCTGTTCATTGAAAACACTTGCATGAGCCAAATTTTCAGGTTTTTACATATACGTGCATTAGTCAACCTATTGGAAAACCACCTGACAAAAAGAAGGAGCAGCCGTGTGGGCAGTCTCTTGAGCAGAACACTTGGAAATATTTAATGCTTTTCTTCGTGTGGCATGACTGACATACATACTCAAATATAGGCTGTCTCTAGTAAATTTAAAATCTTGAAGCTAAAAATAATCCTTTTAATGAGGTGTGAAAGTCAGTGGCTAGGTGGTGTTCTTACTAGCAGTGTTACTCAGCAAGACAGGAGCATTTGTGGTTGGAGCTTGCAAATACCACAGACTCCAGAAAACTGAAGTGGGGATTTGTTTTGATTTTGCTTTTTAAGCGGGTAAGAGAAAAAACACTGAATTGAATTCTTCCAGAGACTATGAATATTATAATGGACATACTTTTACCTTAGTCTCTAATGAGCAGTTTAGTTGCATTTGTTCACGTACGTGCTTTGATTCTCCCCTCTTGAGTTATAGGCCGAGTCTTGTTTAGCCCAGGAGAAGATTTATTTAGTAATTTCTTCTCAGGTATGAACCACATTCATAACTAACATGTTGGCCGGAGTAGAATCCTGGTTAAACGTATTTTATTCTCCACTGAATGATCTCTACCAATATTCTCAATTAGACAACAAAATTACCTTTCTGGGTGTTCCCTTTGTAAACTACTCCTGTTTGAATGTTGAACCTTTGTTTCTAAAGTTTAATGTTAAGATGTTTGAATGTTCAGTTTATGTATTTGAACTACAATAAACCAACCCTTTTATATATGTGGATTGTAAATGATTATTGTTACACAATATATTTTTTAAAAACTCCTAGGCCTGTATTTTTGGTTGTTTTGTTTTGTTTTGTTTTTTTAAGAAAGCAGCATGTGAGATTTGAGTCGACTGAATCTTGGATAGTATAGAGTATTTAAAGGCTTGACTATAATACTGGATTTCCAGTATAAAAGATGCAATTTTGGAGAAAGCCTGTCCTCCCTTTTTACTTTCTGTGCTTGTGAGTGTGTGAGTGTGTTAAGCCTTATACTGCTACCTGTTGCCTAATAGCAAGAATATTTTAATTCTTCTGTTTTCTTGTTTCTGTCTGATTAACAAATATCAAAGGCTTGTGCCTTTTCAGCATCCTTTCAACGTGTCATGAACTTACCTTTGATGCTCAGTTAAGTTTTTCTGGCTTTACTTGTGTGTGTGTGTGTGTGTGTGTGTGTGTGTGTGTGTGTTTAAATCCTATATTGTTCTCATAGGTTGCCAGTACCAGAGTGCCACATAAATGAGATGTATGAGAAGAGATATAAATGTTAATTGTCTTCCCTGTTTTCTCTCACCGATCATGATGGCAACAAAGCCCAGAAAGAGGAAGACCAGCTGATCTGTATTTGTCTGCTGTGTATAACATTCATATCTACACTCTTTATTTAGTACTTAGCATAAATCTATTAAGTGTCAGAAATTATATGACCTGCTGAAGACTGGTATTGATGGAGCATACTAGGATTAAAAGCTGTGAAGGTGATAAACATAAACAGGATTTATATCCTCTCCGCCTTTTAAAATCTACTTTTATAAATTTTTCCAAGTGATTTTTAAGTTTTATAAGGATTCAAATTGAAATGCTTGCCAAAGAGAATACAACTGTTTCAGAACCCTGACTTTCCTAAAGCCCTTTTCTAAGCTCCACATGCAGTGTTGTGTCTGCATGCTTACTGCATCTTGTCACGGTACGAAAGAATGGGGAGCTGGTGGATCTCCTCTTTCCCATTTTTGGCCTCAAAAGTCTGTGTGGGGTTGTTCAGAGAAGAAGTGAGTCCCTGTTTTCCTTGAAGATTTTTAAAGAGACTAGATCAGGACTCTCATGTTCTTAATGAGTGATTCATCATAATTATATGTTGTTTCAGTATTTGAAGCTTACCCAGGAGCCTGGGACATGGTCATTAACAGGCCACCTCATAAAACCCTCTTTTTCTGAATGATAGTTTTGAAGTAATTCAAGGGACAGATAACATTAAGTCTCTATTCAGAAATAAAGCATTGCTTTTATTTACAAGACGTCACATACTTAAAGCTTACACTACACACTGTGTGTATAAAACAAGCATGCTTCCTCTGTTTCTCAGTTTCAGTGCCAACCCCTCATGTAACCAAGCCAACAAAGCAGTTATTTTGGATTCTTGGGCTAAACCATTACTTTATTTGAATGTGAGAGCTTCAAATACAATTTATAGTGAAACAAGTGAAAAAGAAGTCAGCTTTGTCTTTCTGTGTTAAAAAGAAAACCACAACCTTTAATAGTAAGATAGTCTCAAGACTGAACATTGTGACAGTTCTCTGTACTGTACAGAATATTCTCCATTAGTTTTTTTTGTTGTTGTTTGTTTGTTTGTTTTTAGAGGCAGTTTTCCTTCTTCGAGATATCCAACAATGGAAAATCCCAGAAATTCACTAAGGAAGCAATTAAGACTATATAATGCTTTTTTTATTTAAAGGGGACAGAAATGTACTGTTTTATTGGGTATGCTGCATTCTGCTGTCCTCAAACTTCCCATGTCTAGGAACGCAAAATGCTTTCCTTTGCCTTTTGCTCTGCATTGTTCTTGCGATTATTCTCCTCTTACCTAAGATTCATGTCAGCTGTCTGCTGGCTTTTCTCTTGTGTATGTGCTTTTCCATACTTTGTTATGCTTGGCTTTTTATACCTTCGATCCCTGGTAATGTTTTTTTTAAGTTGAGGGTGTTCAAGTTAGATGATACAAGAAAAGTCACCATCATTCTCCTTTATGCTTGTCTTTAGTCAGTATGTAAGGCCTATGTAATTAGTTTACAGTCTGTCCTGAGAGCACACACAGAGATCAAGGAGAATACACTGCAGCTTTAAAAAAAAACAACTCTGGGAAGAGAAGAGGCATTTACTTAAACTTGGACCCCATAGTTTGAAATTAGCCCAGATTAGAAAGAAGTATTCATTGTTTTGTAAATTGCTCAGGAAAACTAGACTGTTCATAAAATAAATTTATGTTTATTAAGCAAGTGAAGGGAAATTATAAGTAAAATTTACACTTAATAAAAGGCCAAGGGAGATACAGATTTTGAGCTATGTAACTTGCTGCTACATTGGGAGCAGCAGTTTGAGGAAGAAACAGTTCATAAGTTCAGCCTGGTAAACTACTCTGCCAAGGACTGTGTCTAAGGGGTATCCTGGGGAAAGTCCATTTGAGCCCTGTAACCACTTGAACATAGTTTTCTTTACATAACACTTCAAATGAGTTCTTTTGCGGGGCGGGGGGGGGGTTCTGAAGCAAAATTCCTACGTGCCATTCTACTTACCAGACTGTATAGTTTGAAAATACAGAAGAAAATCTTTGCAATTTCTAACGGCAGTTTATATAAGTCAGCAATATTGCTAAGCAGCAGTACAAGTAACTACAATTATCACTGTTTTTCTTTGACACTAAAGTCTGCTAATTGCAGCCCTCTGTCTCTTGGCCTTCATGTTCCCAGGGTATAGGGTCATTGTCCTGTGCCGAAGCGACGGCGTCCCTCTCATGCCAGAATTGCTCGACGTCAGGGAGGATGGGAGCCACTGCCTTGTTGGTTTTCTCTTTGCTGGAGTTGAGAAAGCCAGGTCTTTCGGTCTCTGGAATGGATGTCTGGGACTCTGGAGATGGAGCCTTGTCCAGAGGGGCCTCTGTGTTTTTAGCTGGTGCCCCCTGAACCTCTGAGGCACCTGCAGGCTTTCTGGTTATCCATTTCCATACGCCTTTCAAGCCTTCCTTGAACTCTTCAGACATCACTAAGAAAATGAGCGGGTTTGCTGTAGAGATGGAAAACATCAGGACTTGAGATAGGGCTATAAAACCCTGTGGTGGCATTGGACCTCCAGCCTTGAGGTGCCATACCCACAGCCAGGCTACCCATTCAGGGAGCCACAGGAGAGCAGAGGTCATTGCAGTGCTTAGCAGCATCACTGTGAGTTGCTTTGAACGCATCTGGTTTCTAAGGTTTTGAGTTTTTGTACCTCGTTTTTTACATTGGCCATAAGCTCTCCAGAAATAAAAGCTGGCCAGAAGTAAAGGAAGGCAAAACACCAGGAGAGGGTAGAGCTTACCGAATATTGACATGAATTCTTCAGCCACAGCTGGCACATCCATGAGGCACATTTCCACACCTGCATGACGTCTGGTGGTGCTAAAGAACCATTCTGGCAGGGGAAGTAGGCTGGCTACAACCCAGATGGTCAACAGCATTGACCAAATGGTGCAGTTGTGGATAGCCACTTGCTTGGCTGGGTCACTTGCATACATGAAGCACACTTTGGCAACTACAACAATTGTCAGGCTCTTGGCTGCCATGCACGTATGGATGAACCAGTCAGAGGACTTACAGACAAACCAGCCTAGATCCCAAACACCTTTGTAGTATGCTGTAGCTCGGACAGGTGCAGAAAAGAGGAGAGAGATGTCAGCCAGGCTGAGATTCAGAATCAGGGAATGGATCATGGATGGCTTTCTCTTCCAAACACCGTGAAGGAGAATGCCAATCACACATAGGTTCCCCACGAAGCCCACGAGGCACACAGCCACCAAGAGAGCCGGGATGATGGTCCTCCAGTCCTCGGAGTCAGATGGCAGGTACCCTCCTGCAAAGCGGAGGTGAGCAAATGACTCATTCATGATGCTGGAATTGGAGTCAGCAAAGACAGCTGCCAGTAGCACCTTTCCCTTCCAGCTCCTCCCTGCAGATGTTGGCTTCTTGTTTAGGCTGGTCTTTCTCAGCTCTTTTGCATAAATAAAAAAAATACGCTCTGTCGTCCGCACTGATGCCACCTCTGGACCCTCCCCTTTTGGTTGCTGAGCTTTTGGGCTGCACACAGTAGACCTGTGACTGCGTGGAATGGCAGGCAGCAGGGGTGTATTGCTATGGCTCATTAGCAAGTCTAATCCTAAGTGCCAGCCCCATCAGGTGATAACACATTCCCATAAATGATAAATGAGGAGAAACATACAAGTAAGCAGGGGTGTTCACCTGGGGTGAGGGGAGGCAGGGGAGGATTACTATCAGTTATTTCTAAAATCTTGACTGGATTTCTAAGTACAGACTGGTCTGTAACTCAGCAGGCTCCAGTTGATCCAAGTCCTTTGACTTCTTACATCCATTAGGTTCTCCTGATAGCTTAGTCTGTTTATACAGGGCCTCAGAGTCTGCTCTCCTACCCAGTTCCCACAGTTTTGCTGCGAGACCGCGCTTTAAGAACCGGTGCTCTCTCCCCGTTCTCTTTGCAGATAGGAGCATTCCTCTTCCTAACCCTCGCTACCACATCAGTTCCATGAACAACTAACTGATAGCGAGCCCAGCTGGGAAGTGAAGTATTTTTAAATCCAAGTTTATCATGTATTTTCTAGAAGCGCTTTGGAATGCTGAACTGGTTTACATATTAATAAGACTTCAGGGAGTGATGGTGATGAAACCAAATGATAAATTAAGCTTTTCAGAATTTGGATGATGGAGACATTTAAGAGATTTGAAAGAAAGTACCATTGTAAAGGGGAAAGCCAGCAAGGTACCAACGGCCGATAAAAGCTGCCCTAGTGACCTGAGATTGGCTGCCCAGAGTTGTCCTTTGTCCTCTGCAGGCATGGTGACACACTTGGCCTGTACATACATATTATGTACAAAATATACAATCACAAAAAGGTTTAGTGAAGAACAGCTCAAGTGAAATGGACTTTCCCAGGCAGAGGACGCTGGAGGGATTAGAAGACCCAGTATTGCTTGGTATTGCTGGGAAAACGGCAGAGGGTACAACTTATCCTGAGACTGATTTCCCTAAAAGGCTTGTGGAGAAAGTGTGGCCCAGAATGTTCAAGGTCTAAAGGGCAGTGCCAGGTGGGAACAGGTGGAACTGTCCCACGTGAGTGTGAAAGATGATATGCTTCTAGTGTGGCAATCAGAACGGCCAAGTGGTGAGTCTAGGACCTGGTACTAATGCCGTAGTTTTATCCTGGGAAGGAAAAGAAGGGCACATCAAAAACTCTGGAAGCCACAGGCATATGTGCGGGAAAACACCTGGGCAAAGTAAAATCAATAAATCCTAACAAACAAGCAAAATAACAAAGCAAACACAAGCAAACCACGCCCCTGAGTTGGTGCTCAACAGTACAGCTGTTCTGAGAGCTGGCCACAGTGTTGGGACTTGCTTTCTGCCTCCTCTCCCTCATATCTGGGAGGGTATCATATCACTGGTTCCTAAGGACCAGTGATGGGAAAGATCCTTTGAGCTATAAATAGGCACAATGGGCGTTTTGGTAAGGAGAATATTCTAAAATTGTATCGTGGGGATCTTTGAGCAATTAGATACACCAATTTATCTTTGATTGTATATTCAGAACTTGACTACGTGTGTGCAAAGCGTCCTTGTTGGCAAAGACTTTGTACTTTAGTTGAGCCTGCGCCCTTTTTCCTTCTCACCTTTTGCTCTCTATTCATGCTGAGACCTTTTTAAAATATCACTATAAAACTCTGCGTGTGTGTACGATGTGTGTATTGTGGGATGTGTGTATGATGTATGTACGTGATGTGTGTGTGTGTGTGTGTGTGTGTGTGTGTGTGTGATATGTGTGAGTGTGCCTTGGCACGGTTGTGGAGTTCTCTCCTTCACACCGATGTGGCTTCTACCAGTGAACTCAGGTTGTCAGGCTTGTGCAGGGAGCACTTTCTTCACGGAGACATCTCACCATCCCCTTTAAAAATCTTATTTGCCATTTTAAGTTAAATTTCTTTCTTTCCAGCTTTCTTTTTTTCGTTTTTTTGTTTTGTTTTGTTTTGTTTTGTTTTTTTGAGACAGAGTTTCTCTGTGCAGCCTTGGCTGGCCTGGACTCATTTTGTAGACCATGGTGGCCTCAAACTCACGGAGATCCTCCTGCTTTCTGCCTCCTCTAGTGCTGGAATTACAGGCATGTGCCACCATGCCCGGTGATTTTTAAGTTAAATTTCAAAATGTATTTTGTTTATCACTCTTAGTGTGGTGGTGGCCCTGAGTGCTGTGGAGCATGTGTGGGGGTCAGAGGACAACTTCCTGGAGTTGGTTCTCTACTTCCATCTTTATGAGGGTTCTGGGGGTCAGACTGAGGTCTCAGTCCTGCTTGTGGGCTTTTCAGAAAATGAGCAGGAGGGAAATGAAGCCTGTGCTGGCTAGTTTTATGTCAGTGTGGCACAGGCTAACATCATTTTGGAAGAGGGAACCTCAGTGGAGAAAATGCCCCTGCTAGCATGGCTTGTAGGCAAACCAGTGGTGCATTTTCTTCACTGGTGATTGATATGGATGGGCCTGTCCCACAGGGGGCAGTGCCACCCTGGAGTGAGTAGTCCTGGATGGCATAAGAAAGCAGGTTGAGAAAGCCATAGGACCAAGCCAACCAGCAAGGTTTCTTCGTGGTCTCTGCTTTAGTCCCTGCCTTCAGGTTCCTGTCTTGAGTTCCTGCCCTGACTTCCATTCACAATGGAGTATGACCGTGAGTTGTGCACTGAATTAAATTTTTTCCTTCCTAAGCTGCTTTTGGTCATGATGCTTTATCACGGATATAGAAAGACAAGGCCATATACGTTCAGGCAGTGTTATGCTAGTTTTATGTCAGCTTGACAGAAGCTAAAGTTATCCGAGAGGAGGGAGCCTCAACTGAGAAAATGCCTCCATCAGGTTGGGCTGGAACTAAGCCTGTAGGGTGTTTTCTTAAATAGTGATTGGTGGGGGTGCCCATTGTGGGTGGTGCCATCCCTGGGCTGCTGGTTCTACACCAAATCAGATTGAGTAAGCCACAGTGAACCAGTGAGCAGCACCTCCGCTCATAGCCTCTGCATCAGCTCCTGCCTCCAGGTTTCTGCCCTTGAATTTCCCTCAAAGGACCGTGTAAGCCACACAAACCCTTCCCTCCCCAAGTTGCTTTGGTCATGGTGTTTCATCATAGATCACAGCAACAGTAACATCAACTAGGATAAAATTGGTATCAGGATACTGAACTATTCCTGTGACAGACCTGGCCATGCTGTTTTTGGAGGGTGGAGACAGGGATTGTGGAAGGACTTTGGAACTTTAAGCTAGAAAAACCATTGAATATTTAAAGCTTGGTGAGCTTTTCAGTGGGAGCTTGGAAGATAAAAATATCGAGATCTATTCAGACAATGGAGGCCTGGCTTGTGAAGTTCCAGAGGGAAGTCTGAGACTCACTTAAAAACTATCAGGGCTCTTTGCTATTTTGAATTGAGAATTGTGGTCTGGTTAGTGGGTGCTAAAGAATCTGCCATGATTAACAAGAGATAGGAACCACTGAAGTAAAAGCTTTGTTTTATCGGGACACTGCTACTGTCAGCTGGGGCTAAGAGATTAACGGTGATTAAGAAGAGACCAGCATCATTGAGGTGTAATGACGGCTGACTGAGGAGTCAGCCCACAGCTGTGTTCCATAGGAGGCCAACGCTGTACCTCGCACTGGCAGCTGAACTTGGTAGTGTAAGAGTCATCCACGTGGTGCTGGTTTTGAAGGCATGAAGGGTCATGGAGAGCAGCTGAGGCTTGGCACTGTGAGAGGCCAGGAGAGACCACTGGAGAAGGTGCAGCCTCAGTGCCATTGAAGCCCCAGGACTGAAGGGGCCATAGAGACTTGATGCCATAAGACCCCGGCATTTTGGAGATGCCACTACTGTGTGGCAACTCCCAGGAACAAAGACAAGCTGTGTGTGTGCTGCAGAGGGCGGAGCCGGAGAGTGGTCCAGCCCTTTCGAGGAGGGCAGAAGATTGTGAGGGAATCCCAGACATTGGACATCGAGTTATTTACACTGTGTGAGTTGCTTTGATGTTGATGGTGTTCTGGTTTTTCCTTCTTGAAGTAAGAAAGTATTTATTTATTTATTTTTATTTTTACAGGAGCCTATACAGTTGAGAGGCTTAAAAAAAAGAGATTTAGAAATTTTACAGGAACTTTGGATTTTAAAAGAGATGATAGTTTGAAAGAGACAACCTTTAAAGTGTTTGACTCTTGTAAGGCTGTAGGACTTTTTTCTATTTGTGAAATGTTTTATATTGTGAAGGCTTTATTAATATGTGATGGTGGGTATGAACACGAAAGCAAAGGGCGTGCTTAACAATGGTGTGTTTGTGTGTAAAATTGACAAGGGGTGGTTGCGCTGGCTAGTTTTTATGTTAATTTGAGACAAGATAGTTATCTGAGAGGAGGGAACCTCAGCTGTGAAAATGCTCCAGAAGGCTGGGCTGTAGGCACGCCTGTAGGGCCTTTTTGTTTTTGTTTTTATTCTTCTTTTGTTTGTTTTTTGAGACAGCTCTGGCTGTCCTGGAACTCACTCTGTAGACCAAGCTGGACTCGAACTCAGAGATCCACCTCTCTCTGCCACCCAAGTGGCTGGGCTTAAAGGCATGCATCACCACTGCCTGGCCAGCATTTTCTTAATTAGTTATTAGTGGGGGAGGGCCTAGTCCATTGTGGGTGGGGCCACCCTGGGCTGGTGGTCCTGGATTCTATAAGAAAGCAGGCTGAACAAGCCAGGAAGCACTCCTCTGTGTCCTCTGCATCAGCTCCTGCCTCTAGGTCCCTGCCCAGGTTCATCTGAGTTCCTGCCTTGGCTTCTCTCAATCGACTATGAGTATGAATCTGTAAGCCAAATAAACCTTTTTCTCCCCAAGTTACTTTTGTGGTGGTTCATCACAGTGATAGTATCCCTG